TTAAATCATATGCTGCACAGAAAGGAAGAGGATTGATTAGTGTATGCCCTAACTCACATAAAGCAGAATGTAATACTTAGCAATGCAGTAGAAGAGGAGTGTTTGGTTTCACAAAGAAAAGGATTTGGCAGTAAGGAAATAACATAGCTGAGAACTGATATTCTGCACAGCCAGAAGAGAGACTGTTGCCAGAGAGATAGTAAATGGAGCACAGGCTGCCCTTCTCTGTATTAATACAAAATCCAGTTTAGAAATGATTTTACCTTCAGGCACTGTAAAGACAGCCAGGTTGACCTATACAGAATACTTGTTGACTCTGTCTCTAGATCAGTGGTTCCCAAACATTGGGCCCTAGGCTTTCTTGGACTCAAACTCCCAAAAGCCTTCACCACTAGCTGTGCTGACTAGAATTTCTGGGCTTTGTAGTCTAAGAACATCTGGGGACCCAAGAATGGGTACTACTGCTGTAGATAATCCAGCATTTAGGCCATTATTAGGGACCCTTCAACCAGTAATAATTTGGTTAAAAATAGATGTTCAGTGGAGAGCTTTCTTTTTTTTAAGTGCTAGTTGAGAGATGACACACAAACCAAGATCCTTAGTAATTAACTCAGTACTCCATAGAGGTTCTCAGTTTATACTTTGCCACATGTTTCCCAAGCTTATGACCAACTTTGCACCACATATTGAACCTGACTTTGTAGTCTAAGAACCTCTGGGGACCCAAGAATGGGTACTACTGCTGTAGATAATCCAGCATTTAGGCCATTATTAGGGACCCTTCAACCAGTAATAATTTGGTTAAAAATAGATGTTCAGTGGAGAGCCTTCTTTTTTTTTTTTAAGTGCTAGTTGAGAGATGACACACAAACCAAGATCCTTAGTAATTAACTCAGTACTCCATAGAGGTTCTCAGTTTATACTTTGGCACATGTTTCCCAAATTTATGACCAACTTTGCACCACATATTGAACCTGACATTAGAACAAAGAGTGAAAACTTTTTCCCCCAGACATGGTAATCCAGCAGACATGGACACTTTTTCTTAGTCACAGGTGAAACATTCCTTTTTAACTCATCAGGTACCTCTATAAATATAAGTAGCTTTTCAGAGCCTAAATTTGGTTCATCACACCCCTTTCAGGCTGTGTCTTCTGGAATCTGGACTACAGAGAGAATTATACTTGAGCCACACTTGTCCAATTACAGCCGAGCATGGCATTATGCATGTACAGAGGTATTGTACCTCACATAAAAGGATATAGGATTTTAAGGGGAGGTGCAGCTGAGTTTACTGTATGCATACTGTATCCTTGCCTATTAGAGTAGTCAGAGACAGACTTATTGCATGGTTAGTGAGATTGGCCCCCTTCATGGATTGCTACCTTGTCGTGACAAAGGGGCTTGAGTAATTCAGAGAAGCTATGGGCTATGCTCTGCAGGGACACCCAAGATGGACAGGTCATAGTGGAGAGTTGTGACTAAATGCGATCCACCTGGAGCAGGAACTGGCAAACCACTCCAGTATCATTGCCAAGAAAACCCCATGAACAGAAACAAAAGGCTAAAAGATATGGCGCTGGAAGATGAGCTCCTCAGGTCGGAAGGCATTCAGTATGCTACTGAGGAAGAGAGGAGGACAAGTACGAGCAGCTCCAGAGCTAATGAAGTGGTTGGGCCAAAGCCGAAAGGACGCTCAGCTGTGGATGTGCCTGGAAGTCAAAGGAAAGTCTGATGCTGCGAAGAAGAATACTGCATATGAACCTGGAATGTAAGATCTATGAACCTTGGTAAGCTGGATGTGGTCAAA